AAATACTTCTGTCAAGGTACAACACGACTTCTGCGGTGACAAATTATATTTCCTTTTTGTATCCTGTTCTGATAAAAAACTAACAAAAAAAAAACACTTTACCAGGAAAAAGTCTCTTCAGAACTCAACAAAAGGGAGGGACACAGTTGCCAGTTCGTGTTAGTTCCTCCCCTCCACACTCAGCACTTCACCACCCAGCAGCAAAGCTCAGTGGACCTCGTCCTGAGCTCCTTTCTCAGCAAATCCAAAACACGATGGTACAAATATCAAAAGGCAAAATATCGTGTATGAGGCTAAGCCTGAGCAGCATTTTCCGTGAGCATTCAAAGCCCCAAACACCAACATGAAAAGGGACGCAGCTGAGGAGACCAAGCCTGCAGATGTAGGACACCAGCTGTGAACAGCAGCAGCAGCAGCAACAGCCACGATCCTGTGGTGATTTTCAGAAGGCTGAACTGCACATTTACTCAAGAGAAACAGCACAAACACCTTTTCCAACCCCCGTGCCCAGACCAAGGGGCGCTGCGAGCGGTGACTCTGGGTCACCCAACCACAAAACGCGCCCCAGCCAGCGACACCTAAACCACAACTCCTCAGCTCCACCTTTAAAAGCCCCCTTAACTGACATTTCAGCCCCTGAGTAACCACATTCATAGGAACCCAGGTGAAATTACTCACCAAGAGGCCTCCAGAGTGACGCCAAAACACCTTTAAAGCCACGCGGCAACTGCCCGGCGACAGCAGCAGAGCACAGGAGCTCACGTTCAGGGCCTGACTTTGTAGGTCATTTTTATTTCAAAGCTTTATGGAAGAGTCCTTTGAAATCTTTGACCCTAATTATCCCAGTCTCAGCTGCAGTCAAAGACCGAGTCCTTCTTTCCAACTGCTTTCCCTTTGCATTAACGAGCTCTTTTTCCCACAACAAGCCACGACAGTCGGAGGTTTTGTTTTTGTTTTTATTTTTATTCCTCTCCTCCCCTCCCATTCCAGCGCTGGAATCAAAATAACTTGAGATGGAAAACGTGTGACCTCCCAAGCCTTTATTTACAGTATCACAAACCACAAGGGAAGGATCTGTCCAAGTTTTCCAGCTGGAATGGGAACAGCGGGGGAAAAAAAGTGCCCTCATTTTTGCAGCTGTGATATTTAACACATCACAGGGGAGAAGACTGGGAAGGAGGCAGGAGAGTTCGAAGCCAGTAATGATGCCATGAAAATACTGGATGAAGAGCTTGAGCCACACAAGTAGGTTCACATGATTACATCCTTTCTCCCCAGAAATAAACTGTGCATGCAAATGTAACTGCAAAACCAGTCTGACACACATTTAATGGGGTTACTTCTTGACTTCTACATCAAACCAGACTGTAAAACACAGGAAAACCTTCTGGACTTCACCTGATTTTGTATTAGTGCTGTAATGATAATAATCACCACAATCTCCCCAGATTACTACAACAAAGACTTCCATCAAAAAATAGAAGCCTCAAAGCAGTGGAATCTTCCTCAGATATTTAAACAGCACAGAAAAACAAACACAAACGAAGCAGGTTTAGATCTAGAGAAAGTTTCTTGCAGCAGGAAACTGTCAGTTAAGTCTGTGGTTACAACCACACCAGCGTCACAGCTCTTTCCTCCCAGTTAAATATGTGTATCCAAACAGTTCCTCATGTCTGGTGCTCCTATTGTAAAAGGAGGAAAACCACCAAAAGACAAACTCAGCCATGTTTCCACCAGAAATTTCACAGTGCCAGACTATACAGGAGACTACAAAGACCCCTTCTTTTGAAAAGGGGTCCTTCTGTACCTTTCCAAATATTTATGTCCTAGTCTATCAGGTCTAACTCAGTTTACCTGGAACTATCTCCCACCTTTAAAAGATCCCATTCCCCCTCCTTTCCCTATCAGCAGTTCCCTCTTATCCCAGCCTGGCACAGTAAGAAATGCCACACCAACCCACCACCTCTACACACTCAGACAGGGAATGTCACAACTGTGCTGCCAAACAGGGCTCCTCTCCCTGCCATCACCCAGCTCTCTGGAGTGTTATCACCTCCATCTAACTCCTTCCAGTGGGTTTAGTGATGTAGTTGAAGAAGGATCCAACACGAGGACAGATTTCTCTGCATTCAGTTGGTTTCCACGAGCTCACCCTTTACAAGGGGTTCAATTCTCAGGTCATGGATCCCACAGGAACTCCCCTGCTAAGCACAGGATGCAAAAAAAGTAAGATTCAGCCCCAATTTGTGTCCATATAAAAGGACATGAGGCTCTGGAAGGAGAAAAGCTGGTCACATCACACAGCCAGGGGTGGAAAATCACAGCCCAGCAGGGCACAGGCAGAGACAGGTGCTGCAGGCAAGGCAGGGGGGCCTGGAAGGGCATTAGAAGGACCCAACTGCAAAGCAAACCTGGGCTGTTTTTTGACAGGACACCACACACTCCTCGTGTGTTTGTACAAACTGCTTGGAGGGGACATCACTTCTCCAATTGCACCTGCCCCCACCTGCCTCACATCTTCTCAGGCTAAGGCACCCTGTGATTCCACCTCATTTACTTTCCCCTCTCCTATGTGTTATCCTCCTGCCCAACATCAGCCCCTGCTTCTTACAGAAAGAAATTCCTCATCCCGTCCAGGATCCTGCAGCTGGAAACACACTGGATTCTCCAGTGGAAACACAAAAAGGCAGCACAGTGCCCCTGGACAGCTGGAAGAGAGGATGCAGAGCTGCAGGTACCTCCTCACTCTGCACCAGCATCCTCCATCTCCCCATCCCACTGCTTCCCCCACCAGCTCCTTGCCCAGGTCCCACAACTTCCAGAACCACCAGCACTTAGGGCTTGCATAGGCACACACATCCCAGGGATTGAGGACACTTCCCTAGAGACTCTGGAGTTATTCCATGTAAAATACTCCCAGGTATAACTTGCAGAGAAGCCTCCTCCCAACATTTCAGCTCTGTCCAGCAGTTTGGATTCAAAGCCTCCAGGTTTGGAAAAACAAAGGGCTGCTGGCAGGACAGAGGGGAAAATTACCCAGTGCCTACAGCATTTTCCTGGACACTGCTATTTGGCTTCTTGTCTCCACGAACACTGCACTCCCTGACGAGGCTTAAAACCCATTTTTCTCCCTACATTCCCTACCTGCCAATCCACAGCCGTTCCTGGCTCCCTGCTGACGCACACAGCCTGGATTCATTTCGCTGTGAACACCATTCCAAAGGCAGTTTCCCCTCACCTGCCTGGGAAATTAATGACCACTTGGGCACCTCATCAGCCCTGTTAAAATCCTCCAGGCAAGTGAAACGAGCAGAGCCTCAACCTCGGGGCAAAGCAAAGCCCGAGCACTGCTAAGGATTGCATTTCTTCTTTGCTGTTACCGCTAATTCCCAGAAAAACACTCCCCTCTACAACAGCCCGAGGGGGATTTCGTGACCTAACTAGAGGAGGGAAAGCTCTTGGGATACAGATGTTCCTCCTCAGCGCAGGAGCACAAATTCACATGGCAATTAATGCCTGCAAGAGCATAAACTCCTCTGTTAAAGCTGCTGACGGCAGCTCATGCTCCCAGAGAAACCCATCCACAGTTCCTTCAGCGAGGGCAGGAGGAGCTGCCAGGCTCTCTCCCAAGGAAATCAGGTATTCCTGAGGGATGAGACAAAGCACTGGGAACAGCCTGGCTCTGCTAATCCCAAAGAGAGGCTCCAGGAAGGGAATCGACACGGAGAATGGCAGTGAATTCACCGGGAGCCAATTCCCCGACAGGAGATAATTAAGGTATTCAAATCACCCTCAGTTTTCACCAAAGGTATTTCATGTTAACACAGGGCTGCTCTCACTGTGGTCTCAGTGGAACTGCTGAGACCCTGAGGGATAAACCCACAGAAAATGAAATCACTTTTCAGTCTGGGAAGTGAACAGTCTCGGATCCAAACTCATTTATTCTTTCTCTTCTTCCCAGCAATTCGCTGCTCTGGAAGCAAAACCCACCAATTTTGGGGGTTTAGCAACCAGCAGCAAAAATGCAAAGTTGCTGTACCACAGTATCACCCCAAAGAGACATTTGGGGGAGTTGAAAAAACACCCTTTCTGATAAGGGAAAAGAAAAAAAAAAAGCTTAGTGCTGAGGAATGTACTGGAGGAAAATAAGAAGATGCAAAACTATGCAGTCAGTCTAAAGAATGACACTCCATCTATCGAGAACCTCCTCTTCAGCCACTAATTTTGTAGGGAGAACTTCACACTATGATCTACATTCCCAGAACTCACACAAAAGAGCTTTGGTGGGAGCCAGAAACACACAGTGAACCCCCCCAAAAAAAACATTCATTAAAAAACACAACCTCTTCACATTTACTTGTTAAAAACCACCCCAGGGTTGCTGCTTCCCCTCCTACACTCTTTATTGGGAAGTGCTGCATCTCAATCCTCTTGGCAACGTAAAACAAATTTAAAGTTCAGAGGGCAAAAAAAAAAAAGGTAGGAACAACAATTTGATGGCAGTACCAGAGGCTGCACAACTGTTTATTTCAACACTAATAAAATCAACACGGAGGGGAGGGAAACTCAGACAAGATTTAAACATCCATTAAAAATGATGTTAATTGCACATCCTGTGCAGCCATTCTCCCCTTGAATGAATTTATTTCTAAGATTTTAAAGGAACAAATCTGCTGACTAAGAGAAAGGCAGGGAGCTTTCTTTAGAAGAGGTTTATCACCAGTGCACACATCTATGCAATTTAAGCCAACCATGTCCTGGGAGTGCCAAGCCCTTCCCAAAGAGCTCGTGCAGCCATTCTTCCAGACTCCATTTAAGCACATTTTCCCCCAGCATCTATTCAGGTGGAACCCAAGCTCAGGTTAATCCCCTCTCACCAGCAGCGAGGTAGTAACCCTCAGATTAATTACCATTCTCCCTAGTAACATCTAAACGGGGTTTTTTTTTTTCCTAATCCAGAAGCAAAAGAACAGCCACCCAGCTGAAATGTCAGCACCTACCTTCTGCAAAATATCTCTCTAGATGCTTCTGAATGCAGGAGGGAGTAAAGACAGCATTGCTGGAAAAGGATGTCACTGTTGGTCCACATGTGTCAACATCCTAGAGGAAGACAAAACACAGTTGCTTAACTGCCATGCCCATGGGAAATCAGGAGCAGGAATAAAGCTGCATCCTTTTCCCAGTCACTCCATGCTAACGGCTCCTATGCAAACAACACAAAGCTACAACATTTTCTAATTGCACATCAGAGTTTCTGTGCAGACATCCCTCCGGTATGGCAGAAATTCAATACGTGATAGTAGGCGGCAATGAGCACCTCGGGGATTTAAAGTGCCTTCCAAGCCATGAGTCATCGTCATCTCGAACTCATGGAAATTAAGAAGGAAAAAGAGAGAGAGAGAGGAGAAAACACACAGGCGCATTGCACTGACCACCCTCACGTGCTCCCTCTGTGAAACACTTCCCTTTAAAGCATCTCCCTTCTAATTTGGGTGCTGAACGACTTCCACGGAGACAAATCATCATCCTGGCACAGCACAGCGTTCCTCCCAACAGCCCCCCAGGGGCTGGGCAGGATCCCACGTTCAGGGGTGGAAGCAGAGCTGGAGCTGCCTGGGTAACCCCCCCGAATCCTTCCACCCCTGGAAGAAGGAGGAGAAGAAGGAGGAGAAGGAGAAGGCAGCTCCCCTGGCTGCTGCAGGGATGGAGCAGCCAGGCCCAAACCAACAGCACCCAGGAGGGCAGATCCAGCTCCCTTCCCACACAACCCCAGGCAGCCCATTCCCACTCCTATCCCAGCCACCTGCTCTCCCCCAAGGCTGATTTTTGCCAGGAGAGCCGAGAGCCAGAAGGAACCTGTAACCACTCCCTGCTGAGCAGGTTACGTGGTTTGCTTCCTTATTCCAAGCAGCCCCTCGTCTTTCTAAGGGATTCCTTCAGGCAGAGTCTCATCTTTACCTCCAAACCCTGCTTTTCATTATGCTTTCAGAGCAGCTGGGTTGCACTTCAGGGCACGCACATGTGCTGCCCACTACCAGCCATCATCCCCCCAAAGGATATTCAAGTTTCTTTAGGTCTTATCCTGGTTTCTCTGCCCTGCTGTTCTCCAATCATCAACCAGAGCATCAACCAGCCAGGGTTCTCCACAGCACACGGTCTGCCAGGGGGATGGAGCAGGGAAGGTTGTCCTTCCCTGTGCTTTGCATCAGAACATGCAAATCTGGGGCCACAACCCCCCAAATAAAAGCTCATCTCCTTGATTAGAACCTGCCTCCAAGCCTTAGGACCGGCACCCAAAAAACGAAGGGTTACACACAAAAATAACTAAAACACCAACATACTCTGCTCCCTGCACTAAAGAACCTGAAATGCTTGGAGAAAACACTGCTGCCTTTAGCTGCAAAGGCTGCTTCAGTTAACAGGCAGATTGATGTCTCACCAAGAGTTTAAAAAAACACTAACTGCTCTCTCCTCTTGTACCTTCTTGCACAGCAATTTAAAAAATGTAACAGTGCTTGCACGGGTCAGATCGGTCCTGGAGGAAGAGCAAACGTGAGGAACATCGAAGGCCCATTAATCTCCGAAATCTCAGCGAGAGCAGCAGCCAGACAGCTTAAAAATATATTTAGTCCACAAATGCTTATTAATGTCATTTGCTGATTCACAGCTGAGCCAGGCACACAGAGCCCAAATGCCACTTCTGCTTTCCCAGGCTGGGTTTAAAATAATATTAATGAAAAAAATAGTATAAAGTGCCAGGCATCAAGTTGCTTCACCTATCTCAAACCCTTCTGTGGTGCCACTAATAAATGTGGCTTTATCTGTGGTGGAAACTTCAGTCCAGTCTGTGGTGCTGTGGTTTAGGATCTGATCTGAGTTTATCTGAAACTGAATCTGAGTTTTCTTCTCTTTTACCGACTATTGATCTCGTTGCCAACGTTAACACAGTCAAGACCAGCTCGTAAATAAAATTGATCCTTCAGGCTCACAACACAATTAAACACTGAAAATCATCACCACTTTTAAAATTACATCTGTACAGCCGAAGAGAAAATATTTGATGAGTTGACAGACACAAACCTGTGTCAAGAATTTCTCTGTGTACTTTGGGGCAGAATTAAGCCACCAAAATCTTAAAGAATCCTTTAAGAAAAAATTCTTCTCGTGAAAGCAAATTTCAAATGTTTCTTCCCCACTGTTACACACAATGCAACGATTCAAAGCCCAAAGGATTTTCTCTCTAAAGCAACTATTCAAATGTGCACGATGGAAACGTATTTAAATACAACATTTTAATCTTGCTTTGCCTTTGAATTTTTAAACACTTCTTCAGAAAAGCGAGTATCTCATTAGTCCTTTCAGCCATTCTACCACTCTGATTTGCAAGTAAACAAGAATCCTCACATTACCTTTCTTTTTCGTGAGGGTTTATTATGGATACATAGTTTTTAACTCAATACACATCTGGTCTGTCTGAGTCTTACCACGTTTTACACGTGATACAACAATTCCCTCCTCAGGCACGTTGGGATTTGTCCACATCCTTCCTTTCTACATTTTCCACGAGCCAGGCACTTTTCTCTAGACCTGGATACGCCAGACAACACCCTCCCCAAAGAACCATCCACCACAACCTACATTTTAGTAAAGAAATTGTAAAAATCCCACTCAACCCAGGCCCTGCTCTGTCTCCCTGGTCCTGTGGAGCAAAGTTCTCCAAATCAGCAGGACCTGGACCCAGGGGTTCAGAGTTTCAGTCTTGGGGTGAGGGCAATTCCAAAAGCCCCCCCCAGGTAAGCTACAAACCTTGAAGGGCCTCCTCAATCTAAGGAAATCAATCTTCCCACCTGCTTTATTCTTTCTTATTTTAGGACTGGGTTTTGGTGGGGTTTTTTTCCCCCTGGGTTGTAGACTGGGGAAGGATGACAGAAGTTCTCATTTTCGGTGACCTTAAAGTCTGTAACAATTGCTGCAAACAGAAAGCCAGCTCTCTGCGCCCCTGCTAATGGCACCGAAATCGAAAGTGATTAAAAGCAAAACCATCTGAGCGCAACAGAAACTGAAAGTATTGCCTCTGGGAAAGCAGAAACACCGTCAGCAAACCTCCAAAAGTAATAGATAATTAATGGAGCCTAGGAAATCATGACATCTTTCTAAAACTTGTTTTCTGGAATAATCATAAACAATTCACCTTGACTGTATTCCCAAGTCATCACTTTTTAAAGTCACTGCAGTTTGCAGAGGCCTTGCTGCTGCTGTTCTTAATTTACTTATTTTTAGGTGCGAGAACAGATTACCGAGGCAAAATTGAAACTTAAAATTGGTCAGGTTTTAAGCCTCTTGTAGATTTACAGTCATTAGCTCTGGCTGCATTTCAGAAGCACTTTGTGCTGTGTGGAACTCAGATCCACAGTGAAAACTGCTCCTGCCTCAAAATTCAACTGCTCAAGCGGGGGAGGCTCCAGCGCTGTTAAACAAGGGGCAGGTTGTCCAAAGCACCGGGAAAAAGCCACCCAAGAAAACCAGAGAAAGGTGAGTCGATGCAAGGGCTCCCAAAAGGCAATAAAAACAGTTTTCTGATGGGTGATTTGCAAAGGGGAACGTTTCAAACTCCCTCCCTTCCTCGAAAGGCTTCCAGGGAAGCATCTCCCCGAGGAAGTCTCTGGGCATCAGAGGGGACTCAGAGCCAAATCAAAGCCCAGTTTGTTCTGGAGCAGCAGCACAACAGCCCATCCCACAGGTGCAGGAAAGCAGACCCCAGCTATTGACAGGCACATTCACAGGGAGTTCTGCAAGGAGGCAGAGGTGCCACACGGCTCGTTTTTATCCCAAATGCTGCACACACCACACTGCACTAACAGAGCTGACATTTACCTTGCCATGTTGGATGATTAATTAATTAGAAGATGCCTTCTGCTGGCTTCTGAAGGCTTCTCTGCCGAACTGCTGGTGCTGCACTTCACCTTCCAGCCCTTCCCCGAGAGAGGCACCACTAAAACCCCTTGATGTCGGTGGGATGGGCAGAGCTCCCACAGCCACACCTGGTGACCACCACAAGTGGCCTCACACCCAAAACCAGCGTCCTGCCAAGCACTGGCAATAAAAAAGCAAGACTCACACGGTGTTTCTGCACAGCCAGAGCCCCTGGGAGCACCGTCTAACAGGGAGAAATGAAGCAGCAAAACTCTCCCTCCCCAACACCGCAGCTGGTTCAGCTCACCTCAATCTGCATTAATAAATACTAAGCCCTACCAAGTGTCAGCTGTGGTCAAACCCCACATGGCCACGGTTTGGAAGCATCAGTTTGAGAGCACGGAGAGCCTCCAGAGCCCTTTCTCCTCAGAGGAGGTGGTTTCTGCTCTCCTCTAAGTCACCCTAAAAAAAATAAGGGGATATGAGCGAGCGACTGAAAATCAACAAACCAGAGCGGGGAAAAAAAAAATTCCAAATCTTGAAGAACTCTGATTGTAGGGACAGGCTGCAGGACGTGCCAGGAAATCAATCAACACGCAGGATAAATGCAGCAGTTAACTGGAAAACACGAACAGCTTGGAAAGGCACCCAGGCCGTTTTCCCCTCTCTGATGTTTGTAGCATCTGGACCCTCCAAAATGCCCTGGAGTTTTGTTCCCAAGGGAGCACGAGGTCCTGGCCTCGCTGCAAGCAGCCAGACCCCAGGGGAAGGGAGAGAAAACAAACAGCAAAATGTTTCCAGAAGCTGGACCCTGCTGTAGCTGTAATGACCTTTTCATTCCTAAAGCCCTCTCCCTCCTTTCTTAAAAGTCATTATTCCTTCCTTAAAAGTCATTATTCCTTCCTTAAAAGTCATTATTCCCTCATATTAAATGGGAGAATTGGAGGGGAAAGTATTACAACACGTTGCTCTGATCAGACTGCAAGAATAAAAGATATTAAAAAATACCCCTGCACTCGAGATTTTTAGGAACAGCACATCAGCCTGTGTAAAATAGGAAGGGTCACATTTAATAGCAAATATCCATCCCAAACAGAGGGGACCTCCTGCTTCCATGGTGGGATCCCAGGAGCCACCACCAGCAGCACCTGCTCTCCCCTGCCACGGAACTGCTTTGAGGTGGGCAGAGCTTAAAAAGCAGCTTTTAAAAGCATCTATTTAGAGCCAAGCTTCAAACTCCCCTCCGAGAGCAGTAAAACCTACAGGATTTGTTTCTTCCAAGAGCACAAAAAGTGGTGGAGGAGGAAAAATTAAAAATAAATAATTAAAAAAAAAGAAAAAAAGACAAAGCCTCAGGGTGGGTTCAGCACCTGTGTATGCCAAAGGCACTCCATGTTTTATGGATGACAATGCCATCACCCCT